CTTTTCAGTCACAAGGTCTTTTTTTTAAAAAATGAAGCAGAATTTTAAACAAACACACAAAAGAATATAAAGCAAGCCCACATATAAGAGATCAAAAAGGAGTAGTCACAGAACAGAAGAATAAATGCAAGGAGCTTCAAGACAGGTGTGGTCTAGGAGAGCCACATGCCAAAAATGTCAAACAAAAATAAAGATGGAAACAAATCAGCTCATGAGTTAGAAAGTCATCCATGACCCTTGGAGTTGTGTTTGGTTTTGTAACATGTGGTTTTGGGTAAAACCTGTGATGCCTAGCTAATTTCCCAATAGAGACTCAGAAGCCTTGAGTATTTACAAAAATTTGTGCAGAATAGTGAAATAAAAAAAAATGCTTATAATTTTAGGGCATACATGTTTAAAAGATAATTTTTGAAAAATATTTATTTTAGAATCAACGAAGCACAAGTTAGCTATTTAAAAAGATAAACACAATTGACACATACTAACCAAAATAAAGAGAGAAGACATAGATAAATAAAATTAGAGATGAGAAAAGAATATTAATATAGATACTAATGGATTTCATAAAATCCTTAACTCTTACTCTGAAAACATATATTACATGTAACTGGAAAATCTAAAGAAAATAGATAAATTTCTAGAAACATATAACCTAAGTTAAACATGTCTGTAAGAACCAGTGATATTGCAGCAGTAATAATCTTCCACTGGAGGAATGTTTCAGTGGTTAAGAGCAAGTGCGGCTCCTATAGAGGACACACGTTCAATCCCCAGGACCCATGCTGGGTGGTTCACAAATACTGTAACTCTAGCTCCAGAAGGATCCAACTCTTTAAGCACAGGCACATGCACACACACACACACACACACACACACACACACACACACACACACTCATCTTAAAACAAACACAATTTTAAAAATATGCCTGAGAGATGGCTCAGTGATTAAGAGTTCTTGCTCCCATACAGCCAAAGCAACCCAAAGCAAAAATAGTACTGTTACCATCCCTGATTTCAAATTATAATAAAGAGCCAAGGTAATAAAAACAGCTTATTTTGGCACAGACACATTAATCAATGGAATAGACTAGAGGATCCAGGCACAAGGCCATACAGTTATAGTCCACCTGATAATTGACAAAGTTGCCAAAATAAGCATTAATGAAAAGAGAGAATCTTCAACAAATGGTTCTAGAAAAACTGAATATCTACAGTTAGAGGAATGAAATACCCATTTCTTGCCCTACATAAAATCCAACTCCAAATGAATCAACATAAGACACAAAACTCTGGATCAGTTATAGGAGAAAGTACGAAACACAGTTCTAGGGATAGACACAGGCAAGGACTTTCTGAATGGGACTCTGATTGTTCAAACCACCAACAACAAAAAGACCAATAACCAGCAAACGGGATCTCATAAAATTAAAAAAGCTTTTGAACAACAAAGGTAACTGTCAATCAAGCAAAGAGACAGCCTACAGAATGGAACAAAAAATTTTCCAGCTGTTTATGTGACAGACGGTTAGTATCTACAATGTGCCAAGAACTCAAGAACTAAATACCAAGAAAACAATAGAATATGGGCCAAGCCAAAATACATGGATTATTAAATAGACATTTCACTGCAGGCAAAAGATACCACTCTGATGGGGAGAGAGGCTTCAGAGGCATCCAAGAAAACATACAGACTTTTGCTATTTGCTATTTCTGTCCACTATTACTAGAAGATAAGACCCAACTGCTGAAGACATTCTTTGTTTTGATATGTGACAGAGAGCAATCAACCTCAACTAACCAGAAAACCCTCTCCCTGTGACTAGTTTACATAGCTCCAAGAGTTGCTATGCAGACTGTCAAGGGAGGAAAAACACTAGCGGTCTCCTCCATGGCGTGCCATAACACTGACCTTTCCCTGGAACAATATGTCTACTGTTACAAAAGTGGCATGGTGACCATGTGGGTAATGAAACCCTTTCTGATCGGAGATGAGGCCTGTTCCCTGGGAAGGATTTCACGCCCGGAACTATACCTAGATCAGCGTCTCATGACTGGGAAGACTCCACGCCCCAGTGAACCTGTTGTTTTGCTAGATGGCCATGAGGTGAAATTGCCTTCTAAATCTTTATGTTTAAACTCATAGTGTGTGTTGCTCTCAGTGTTAGCCAGAGAAGCTTCTTTTTGAGTGGGCAGTGGTTAGTGCAGGGATTCATAACTGGTCAACGTGCTGAGAATGAGTGGCTCTTGTGTGCTCAGCCCTGAATGGGACATCTGTATCAGCCCCACCTCCAAGGCTCAGAAAGAAAGGAAGAGAAAGACAGTGGAGAGGAGTGCTGGGAAATCCTGGCTTGTGGACATGACTTGACCCTTGAGATAATGGACTCACTGTAGCTAGGGTTACCTATACAAGACCTGCACAGGATTAAGCCAGCAGAGTCAGTCAACATTTTAGCAGTTAGCGCTAATTGTAATCAGTACATTACATAAAAAAATGTGGAGGACATGAAGGTAGAGGAAGATATGTTGAAAAATGTTCATGGGAGTAGAAGGCACTTGGCATCTATGTGATTAAGATAACGTGCGCGTGTGTGGTATGAAATCGTAGGATGATGAATAAATATGTTTCAAGAACTATTATTTTTCCCGTGTGCATGCTGTGTTTGTGTAAGCGCAGGTCTGTGTGCACCAGAGTGTGGAGGTCAGGAGACAAAGTCTGGGAGTTAATCCGAGGCCATTCCTTCCACCCTGCTGAGGCAGGGCTTCTTTCCTTCCTACCTCTCCGCACATTCCCCACTAGATGGCTTGTGAGCCTCAGTGTGATTCTCTTGGCTCTACCTTGACTCTGACACAGGAGTGCTGGGATTACACATGTGAGCTGCTGTATCCAGCCTTTGGTGGGTTTTTAGAGATTGAAATCAGTTTGGCAAGCTAGTGCAACCAGTGTGTGTGTGTGTTTTTCTGAGCTCCTGATCAAACTGAAGATCACCCCTCTTTTCTTTAAGGATAAGTCTACTCAAGGCAGACACACACGGCGCAACCTGGAGAAAACTTGAATGACGGTCCTCATCCTGACCTCGTGTGGACCATTTCCTGTCTCCAGCTTTGCTTTTCTCACTGTTGAAGCACAGAGGCTTAACTGGATTAGCTCTGGAATTCTTTTCAGCTTTAGTGTTCTATGGTGTATTCTCGTATGGGCACAGTTAAGCAATCTGAAAGCGCAATAATGCATTTGTCGTAGATACATCATAATTTTTATTTGTCTACCCGAAATGACAATTTTACAAGAGTTCCTGATCTAATAGTGGAAGAAGAGAATCCAGGGACAGCACTAGCCATTTCACTAAAGGGTATGTTTTGTTATATACAACCGTCTCTCAGATGATTTTAAGGCCAAAGCTGTGGCTGATGTCCACTGTGGTTGATTGTAAAAGGCCCAACATTCCTCAATATTTCTTCTATTGACAGTTAAGGCCTATGTTTTTTGTTTTTTTTTTTGTTTGTTTGTTTTTTGTTTTTTTACTGCTTGATTCCCCTTAGCTGTGTAGACATCAGAAGGAGAAAAATGATGCTGTTCCTGGCCCCATAAGTGGTTGAATGCTGCCTTGTCAACATGGCTACACAACAGTGAGGAAGGCCAAGCATCCTCACAGAGAGACACCCAGGCAGGAGAATGAGGCCTCTGGCCAACAGCTCTGCCTAAGCACTGATTTTTCCAGCAATGTGCACAAGTCACACTTAAAATGGATCTTCAATACTGGATGAACTCTGCCAGCTGCAACACGTAGAGCAGAGCTGTCCTCACCAACCACTGCCCCAATGTCAGGTTTACAGAAAATAAGTGGCTATTTTCAGCCATTAACTTTAGTTCTATAACAGATAACTGCTACGAAACGAACACTTCCTGGCCAGTCATCATATAAACTAAGTTTAATTTGTACAGCAAGCTCTGCTATCATGACATTTATGTATTCCAGGAAATCATGCTCTATGATTACTTACCTAGCTGTTGCATACAATTTATGAGGAAAATAGAACCAAGGAAATATTTCATAAGGAGTAACAACTGAAACAGCAACAAAAACCTGAGAAAACCCAGCCATAGCACAGCTCCGGAGGCATTCACTTTTAGAACTGCACTGTTAGCTAATCAACCTCGGGTCCCCCAGACTCATGTTTCCTAAGAGATATTTCCAGCAGACAATCTATAGAGTGGAAAGAGGGACTGTCACATGTGGGAGGCCAGCCTCTCTACAGATTGCTGGCTGAGGCTATATCGTAAGAACTTGTCTCTAATAAAACAAAAATGGTAAAAATTAAAAATAAATATAAAGGAAGGAAAAAGTGTCAATCAAGAGGACTTGAGTGTTTAGTGATTTCCTTATGTGCAATTCATACTAAAAAGCTCTCATGAGCAGATGAGGTAGCTCTTGTCTGAAATCCTAGCCTTCAGGAAACAGAGGCAGAAAGATTGGGCCAGTCTGAGTTACATAGGGAAATTTTGTCTCAAAAAAACAAAAACAAAAACAAAAAACCAAACTTAACAAAAAACCAAAACATAAGAAAACACTTAAAAGACAGCCTGTTAGTGACATGCAGGAATGATATTCCAAAGTAAAAGTTGGTTCAACCCTTTGTAACCATACCCCTGATGCATGGATTTGGGCCTCATGACCTCCACTTTCCTAATGGACCTAGTTTCCAACCCTAGAAGAGATTCCTTAGCTCAGCTTTGGCTTCAGTGTCTCTTACCACACCCAGGAAAGGCTGGCAGGATTCCCCAAGGGATGGGTGAGGGATTGAGTTGAGGGGAGGAATGTTGGGTTGGAGGGGATCATGTTTCCCAACCTATTATACGGTGGATTCTCTTTTGTTGGTGATTCTGATAAGACAACTCTTTCCAGCACAGAGAAGACCTCAAGTCAGGGGCTCGAGGAAGAACATCGATGGGTCCTCAGAGAACGTCAGCATCAAACATTGACTGTATGGGAAGAAACCTACCTGGCAGGGCAGGTCCATCTCTGTCCACTGTCTCAAACCAAGGTTCACTGAAAGGAAGTTCTGGACTTGGAGTAGTATCCTGAAGAGTGAATTTAGAAAGACAGAGGTTGAGAACGAATGTTCCGCTGTGCACTCGAAGGGTTATATTTATGTTCTTAATCCTGTTCGTTAAATTTAGGGAAAGAAATTTGCTGTTAGCATGACTTTTCTATGGGGGAGGAGCCAGAAACTATGTCCTGAAAGGACAACGCGGCCTGACCTGACAATTGATTTATTGCCTGATCTCTTGTTTCTTGGCTGACTGGTCTTGCTGGAAAGGACTAACTAATGACTGAAATACTTTGAATTGTGTCAGTCATGTTTTCATTTATATATTTTTTTCATTTCAAGAGGACATGGAGGTTATTCAGAATTTCTATTTATGTACACACCAGTGAAAACTTGGAACACTGAAATTGTTAAATACAAAAAATCACTACTGCATTGATTCCTTTTAGTCTCTAAGACATTAATTTTAATTTACCACCTTCCATAAATAAAAAATTTAAGTAAGCTCTTAAGAATTAAAAATAAATTTATAAGGGTATTTCTGAAAATCAAAGTTAAGTATTTTATTTTGCTTTACTTATTAATCTTAGTTAATAAAAATGTGTTTTACCTGGATGGATAAAGCACTAGCCTGTTTCATCAGCAGGAAAAGGCACTGGCCACCAAGCCTGGTGGTCTGAGTGCAGTTCCTGGAACCCACATAGTGGAAAGAAAGAAACAACTGCAAATCGTGCCCTGACCTCCACATGTATGAGGTGCCGTGCCTATGTTTTCTCTTGCTCTCATAAATGGATGAATGTATAAAATTAAATTTAAAATGTGTTTTATTGCAGAAGCTTTCAGAGGCCCTCTGTGGCAGGTTTCAAGGTTGTTTCCTGTTTTCTTCTGGCTTTCAAGGAGAGCAACAGAACAAGATAATTTGAACACAGGGAACTTCCCAGAGACTCATACTCCAACCAAGGACTATTTGTGGAGATGACCTGGAACCCCTGCACAGGTGTAGCCCATGGCAGTTCAGTGTCCAAGTGGTTTACATAGTAATGGGAAGAGGGACTGCCTCTGACATAATCTGATTGGCCTGCTCGTTGATCACTTCCCCCTGAGGGGGGAGCAGCCTTACCAGGCCACAGTAGAGGACAATGCAGCCACTTTTGATGAGAACTGATAGACTAAGATCAGAAAGAAGAGGAGAACCTCCCCTATCAGTGGACTTGGGGAGTGACATGCATGCAGAAAGGGGAGGGAGGGTGGGATCGGGAGGGGAGGAGGGAGGGGCTTATGGGGGGATACAAAATGAATAAAGTGTAATTAATAAAAAATTAAAAAAAATGTGTTTTATTAAACACAGAGCACAACCTGACTCAAAATGGAGCAGATATTTAACTAAATCCAAGGAAACTGAATTTTCGAATATTTGAAATGCAATTTGAATTAATTTTTGCTAACACAGTTATTAAAAGTAGGTTCCTAATTACAGACCTAAAAACATAAAATACTTATATTTAACTTTACAAAGAGTATTTTTTTTCTGCTCAGTCTATAGAACTTACTGTTTTGTTTGGAGGATTTTAAATAGAAGGAAAAGAAACTTACCTCAATGACATCAGCAAGGGGAATGGGCAGTCCTGATTGGGTGACAGGTTTGGAGACTGACAATGTCCCAGCAACTTCTGGAGTGAAAAAAAAAAATCACAAGGCTAAGATACTTCTTATTTTGGAATAGTTAAGGTTCCAAAATGTGGTTACAATGAATTCTTAAAGACTAGTACTACAAATTATTGAGAAATTGGAATTACAGACTAATGGTCATTAATCTAAGTGATACACAGAAGGACAAATACAGGGTTGCATCTTGCATGCTTATGTGATGGGAATTGCTAAGAACAGGGTGGAATGGTTGGAGAGATTGTTAATGGGTACAGCCATCAGTGTAAATAGATTGAAGTAATAAGTACTAGAATTATATTGCTCAGTTGGGTGATTATAGTTAATGATACTGTATTGTCTGTTTCACAATTGCTAGAAGATGAGTTTTGAATGCTCTCAACAAAAATGATAAAGAATAAAGTGATAAATATAATAATTATATTGCTTTGATCATTATGTGATATGCGCATGTATCCAATAATAACATTATATCCCATGAATGTGCATAATTATTATGTGTCAATTAAATAATAAGAACAATTACAAAAGAATAGCAGTTTAGGGATTTTTTTATGGTGCCCAGTCTTAGTCTACAGCTATGGTTCAAGAAATGAGGTTGGTTGACTAGGCCAGTGGAGATAGAAATATGGCTTAGCTAGCAATGGAAGAAATGGTTGGTATCAAGACTGTAATATAGGAGTACCCATAGGAGGCCAAATCCATCCTACATGCTGGTTCTCAGAACACCCCAGAAAGCTCAACAAAGACACAAACCCAGAGTAACAGATGATCTCAGAGATGAGTCTGAAGTTGTTCCCTTTTTGCTTTAGAGGCTCTATAACCTCCTTCCAAATTTCCAGAAATAATTATTTGCTGATCTAAATCAGGTAACCGAACTGCCAGAGAACGACAGTTTTCTTGCCATCTCATGTTGAAATGGCATTTCCATTGTCTATCTATTATACTATCTGCTGTGCCTGCAGGTTCCAGGCTCCTGGTTCCCCTCACAGCATCTTCTAAAGGTCCCCAGCACATCAGATTATCTTGTTTACTTGTTTGGATCCCATTGAAGGTTGACTTATACAGATTGTATCAGTGGTTCATAATTCTCCTCTCTGGGGTGGGTTTTATTTGTAGGCAATCCGTTGGATTCTCTTAGACTTATTTTTGCCTATCACCAAAGGCTGATCAAATGAAATGCACGAGGGTGTGAGGAGAGTACCACGTATGATGTGCCTGCTGCAGTAATGATGACTTTACAGGGCCCAAGATAAAATGACAACCTATCATATAATCATACTTTAAAGCCTCTCTGTAAGAATAGGGTAGGCTCAGAACTCCAGCATCCCCAACTGACCATCACTGAACTGAACTGTCCCCACATTCAAGGAACGGTCTCCATCTAGTGCTTGTATGATGAGTTTTTTGAGGTCCATAGCTGTGAGGTAGGTTTCTGGTTGCTTGTCTTCTATGGTTCCAGGAGGATGCATTCTTTCACTTTCAATTTTGTTGGAATCGAAAGACAGGCGATCACTATCAGGGCTTTTTGCTTCTGCACGGTCTCTCTTAAAGATGGCCATAAGTTGTATTTCTGTGGAGCTTGAGCTGTGGAGAACAGAGGACATGTTCTATCCAAAGCCAAAGACTAGAGAGCTTCAGTGTTACTATAAGTTTCAGGATGCTTTATCCTCTATTCTGATAAGCTCTTATGGAATATCCAACTTAGTACATTTCATTATTTTCCAGAAATTTAGCATACGGAAAAATATTGTCAAATGATGTTTTTAAAAGTAGAATGTCAGTCTGGGGATTAAGTCTAGTTTGAAGAGGGACTGTGAACTCATCCATACATATTTATATTTAAAATTTTTAATTATTCATTGTTAATTGATCAATGTTTTTGGTAGTCTTAAAAGTCATCCAGTGCCAATCAGGTAGAGAGCTGAACTGGCCCTACAAGACACCTCCTTTAAGGTCTTTGAACAAGCATGCAGGGTGTAGAAGTGGTTCAACAGGCTATGTTTGTCATAACCAAGTAGAACTTCAGTTCGTTAAGGCCTTTTTTCTTCCATTCTTTTCAACAAAGTAATTTTTTTTTAAATTAAAAAATTTTAAATGAAATAGAACAAGGAAATAAAATAGCAAAATATGTGAGAAAAAGGGAAAGAAAGCAGTACATGATTAACTGTATCCACAATATATTTATTAATGCAATCTCTTTCAGCATGCAAACCCTAAACAAGACTCTTTACAGCTCTGTCCTTGAGAATCAAGTGTTACCATTTGTTTCATGCCATAAATCTACACAGAGGGAAGCAGAAACGTTTTTAAAGGCCCCGGGAACTGATAATGTGTATTCTTGGCAGTTCTTCAGACCATATAATCAGTCAGAGACTACAGTTCATTATTTCAGCACTCAGTTGCAGGAGCGAAAGCCAGATTCTCATTACTGAGCTCTTCCAGGTATAGTGGGTCCTTTCCCACCTCAACCTGACCTTGGAGCTGAGGAACAAATTAATTTCTCTCCTTCATTCCAGACTTCATTTGGTTGCCCTCATGAGTTTGCAGCCAAACTACCACTGCAAACTTACAAGAAAGAGTTAAATCATGCTGCTTACATAGTACATCTATAGTCTCACTTTTAAAAAAGTTTTTGCTAATAAGAGCTTCAGTGTTTTATAGAAAGCTTTTCAGGTGGTCATGCTAATGTTTCCCGGTTAATATCACATGGCGATTTGAATAGAATTAAAAAAATCATTAAATGATAATTAATCCATTTAAATAAACTACTAAAAATCATTGGTTTATTCAAGACATTACATGTGAAAATTATTTAAAAACCCAGATTATATATTAGCAGAGGGAAGCATACTATATATTTCAAACCATAAATATAATAAAAATTACCCATCTTCTTCTTTCTTTGGTCTTCATTTCACCACATACCATGAAAACATGCAAAGGAGAAAGAATTTTGGTGAGATTTATTGAATCTGTCAGTGGATAATTTTATATACAAAAACGTTTTTGCGTTGTCCCACATGTTTGTCCAGAGAGTGTTTGGAGAAACATCCAAATTGCCGTCAGAAATTTGGAAAGCACCTCTAAGAATCATGAGACTCAGGATGCAGACAGCATAACACACAGTTTCTGACCAGGGTTTGCGCCTTAGTTCAAAGATGTCTGCGCATTTATGGTCTTCTTTCTATACTTGCTTTCCTCAAAGAGGCTGAAAATATATGTTATTCATCTTATATTTGGGTAGCAATTGCCGTGATGATTTTAAAAGTATTTTGTAAACAGATTCTTTCCCTCGTGAATATCATTAAGGGGTTTATTCATCCATAGAGGTAATGTCTCTAAGACTGACCCCTAGAACCAGTGTTTTGCCAATTTCTCTTTGAATTACTTTAATCAGTTGAGGGATTGGTTCCATTCATGATGAAATCTTGCAAGAAAAACAACACTTTTTTACATAGTGGGTGGTATGTACCCAGTTTACGTGTGTTGTAGTTTGTAACCCATGAAACCAAGAAGAACGACCATGCTTCCTGGGCCAAAACCTTATTCTTGTCAATTAAAAATTGTTTTGTTGACATATGCTTGTATAAGCAAATAAAAACTTAAAGAAGAACTAATGGATCATAGTCATCAGTGTGAAAGGTTTATCTTGCCTCTTGGTGATCTTACCCTTTCACACTCTGCTTTCCTGTCTCCAAGAAACTACTGCTATGCTTTCTGTCACTGTAGATGAGTTTGTGTTTTCTGGAATTTAATATAAATAGAATATAATGCACTCTTGTCAATTCTTTCACTCAGCACAGTTATTTTGAGATACATTCCTGTTGTCACATATGTCAAGAGTGTTATTTCTTTGTCAAGATAAGTGTCTCTACTGAGAACATTCTAGAATTGTCTATTGTTCTGTTGCTGGGTGGTTAGCTTGTTTTCATGCTTTGACTATTAAAGATAAAGATGCTATGGACGTTTATGCAACAGGCTGAAGAAATACACTCTGCCACTACAATGAGCAATAGTTTCCCACACTTGCCCTAAGAAATGGAGCAATACTCAAAGCACTGCTTTAACTAAAAAAGTTAATACACTTTTTTCTTTAACTGATTACATGGAATTTATTAAGATTTAAATGTCAATATAAGATAACATTTAACATTAATTACAGACCACAAATACAAGACATAGTGTATTAGTTTCTCACAGGTTGAGATCATGGACTCTGTACTATATTTAAAAAAATGTTTGGGTTGTTCCTTTTAAGCTTCATGGTCGATTGTTTTGGGAATTCTTTTACTAACCTTTAGAGTCATTGCTTTATGATTCTTAACCCTGCGCATTAGTGATTTTGACCATGTTTAAGAATCTCCCCATTAAACATACCAAAGTAAAATTGTATTAATCATGGAGTCCTAACTACTTTCCAGAGAATCAGATGAGACTGTTCATACCAAGATATTTGTGAAGTTATAACACGATTTTCTACAGATGAGACTAATGAAAGGCAATGTATGTGACTGACAGGGGCTGAGCCTGTGGTCATCTGGACCCGTAACAAGAGTAGTCTCTTTCACGGCAAGTTTATTCCACAATATCTCCAGCCTTGGTGTTAATGGTCAAATACTTTGTTCTGCACAAAGGCACATCGTTTATTGAATTCAGGGCCTCACATGCTTTCCAGTGGACTGAAGTCCTCACGACCAAAGGAAAATCATTGGCAAAATGTGACCAAACTTATTTTTATAAGCATATTTTGCAGAAATAGGAATAAATCCTTACAGGGCCAAGCTCATGGGAAAGATTCAATTTCCAGGCATGCCTCTTTAAAATTTTTACCTTGGAAATTTCATTGCCTAACATTGTGAGTTTTTTCCTCTGAAGTCTTTTTTTTTTAACAATTAGATTTTCATTTGCGGATGGGAGGCAAAAACATGAGTTTAATCACTCACAGGAGAAGTTTTTCCATCATTTCCTGAAGCTGTAGATTAAAAATTTGTTCTTTGACTGTAGTACTTTATTCAGAAGACCTCGCCACCTATGCAAAACAGTGCCTATCACCTTTGATTATCTTCTCATCTGTCTGACTTCGATTCGAATACTGCAGAGCGGCTCCTTGACACAGAGCAAAGCGAGTTTGCTTTGGTAAATATTAGGACTTTCATCTTTTATCACTCTCCCTTTCCAATATTTTTCTCCTCTGGAGCGATCCAAATCAGAGAGGCCTGTGAGACACAGCTGGTCAAGGCTCGTATGCTCTTCTCTCCAGGCATAAGCTGCTCTTACCACGGTGTCCTCCCGCTCCAAGGCCAGGTGGTGAAGGAGGCAGGAAGACTTTGACAAGACCTGCAGGCAGGCAAGTTTATCCTGCTTCTCACAGGGCCGCTGTGTACTCTGCAGCACCGTACCGTTTAACGGTCCTGCCTGAAGATGTTTGAACTTAAAAATAACCAAGCAAGGATCCCTGTTTAAACCTGTGAGCCTGTATCAGAGTGCTGTGAGGACAACGGCTCCAGACCTGCTTCTGCTGGAGTGACATCCCACCCAGCCTTGGCGTAGCATTACTCCGCCATTTAAAATTTCCAGTCCCTACTTTTTGAGTAACACAGCCTTGCTTTAGTCCATACAGTGCATAATGTGATTTGTCTGTGTGTGAGTTTTGTGAAGACTTGCTTTTGCCCCTGTGTACTCCATTCCTCCAATCTCTCCGTTGATAAGAGCAATTTTTTTTAAAAAATTAAATCCCCTTATTTCTCTTGGCTAACAGGATGTCATCAGGGATGAGATTTAGTCTTGGAGAGAACATGAGGAACCCAGTACCAAGGCAATTAATTGCTCCTGTTTTTTGATCTATCTTTATTGAGGTGTCTTCCAGAGATTTGCTAATGACATTGCCAAGGATGACTGACAGATGCTCAGTAGAGGGCGCTATTTCTGCTCTTTGAGCGGCATGGCGGGTCCTGTGGGGTCCCCGAGCCAGCAGGGTTTCCTCTTCTAATTAGGGCCCATTATCTTGAAAGTGCTCACTCCGTTGGACCAGACTGAGTTAAACAACTGAGGGAAAGGGGACCTTCTAATACTCCGGACATTGCTTTTAATGAAAGCCAGAGAAGAAGTGACATTTAAATTTGTTGTTTTAAACTGAAAGTTCGGAACAGTCTGAGTTTTACTCACCTAAATCCTACCACCTGGATTTCTCTGAATCCTGGAAGTTTCTTAAATACCTTTTGCAACTGCAGAGAGAAAGAAATGTTATGAAATATTCTTTGGTCAGACGGATCGATATCTCAACAAACAAACAAACAAACAAACAAACAAACAAACAAAACCTCTAGACACTTTTGCTGAGTCAGTGAAGGAACAGTTGAAACAGAACGCTGAAACAGCATGACACATCGTACTGCCTCCATCCACAGACACTCATGAAGCCTAGAGAGCACTTTGCTTTTAGCTTTAAAGCCGTACGTGAATACTTCTGAGATGCTTTAAAAAGTGATTTCACATAAAATATAAAGATGGTTTTTGGCCGGAACCTTTCTAACTAGCATTTTCATATACATAGAGTAATACACAGTTTTTTTTTTTTCTATATAGTTAATAATTAGCTAGTGCTGTTTTCTGAATCGAATTAGAGGATTTTGAGAACACAACAATGAGGTATTTTTTGGTTCATTAATTGATTTATTCACTTTACATTCTGATTGGAGCCCCCCCCTTCTCTTCTTTCAGTCTTACTCTCATACCCCTGGCCCCCCACTTTCTCTCTTTCTCCTCAGAAAAGTGAAGCCTCCCATGGGTACCAACTCACCCTGGAACATCAAATCCATCAAATCCCATCAGGACTAAGTGCATCCTCACCCACTAAGGCCAGACAAGGGAGTCTAGCTAGGGGAAAGGCAGGCAGCAGACTCAGAGACAGCCCCCACTCCAATTGCTAGGGGACAAACATAGAGAAGAAGCTGCAGCTGCTACACATGCGCCGGGGACCTAAGTGCAGCCCATGCATGCTCTTTGGGTTGGTGTCCCTTTTCCTCTACCAGGAGTCCTGACTGGCTACAGGAGGTGGCCATTTCAGGCTCCATATCTCCCAATGCTATGAATCTCAGCTAGGGGCAACTCCATAGACTCCTGGGAACCTCCTCCTGTCTTGGAGATGCTCACCACTTATTTCTGTTCTCTCCTGATCCTCTTCTGCAACTCTCTCCACATCTCATTACTACCCCATCCTCCTTCCCACCCCATCTTCCACCCAGTTCCCTTCTTCCATCCACTTCAATGTGTGTTTTATTTCCTCCTCTGAGTGAGATTCAAACATCCCTTCCCTTGGGCCCTCCTTGTTACTTAGGTTCTTTGGGTCCATAGATTGTAGTATGATTATTCTGTACTTAATGGCTAATATCCACTTATAAGTGAGCACATAGCATGTGTGTTTCTGGGTCCAGGTTACCTCACTGAGGATGATATTTTCTAGTTCCATCCATTTGCCTGTAAATTTTATGATGTCCTTGTTTTTAATAGTTGAGTGGCATTCCAATGAGTAAATGTACCACGTTTTCTTTATCCATTCTACAATTGAGGGAAATCTAGGTAGTTTTCAGAGTCAGGGTATTCCAGATGAAGCTGCTGTGAACATAGTTGAGCAAGTGTATATGCCTAGGAGTGGTATAGCTTGGCCTTGAGATAGAACTGTTCTGAATTTTCTGAGAACATGACAAATTGATTTCCAAAGTGTTTGTATATGTTTGCACTTTTACCAGCAATAGACTGTTCCTCTTGCTCCACATCCTCTCCAGCATTGAGTTTTTGATTTTAGCTATTTTGATCAGAGTATGATGGAATCTTAAGTGTCCTTTAGATGTGCATTTCCCTAATGACTACGGATGTTGAACATTTCTTCAAGCGCTTCTTGACCATTAGAGATTCCTCTGTTGAGAATTTTCTGTTTAGCTCTGTACCCCATTTTTGATTATGTTATTTGGTTTGTTCCTATCTTATTTATTGAATTCTTTTATGTATTTTGGCTATTAGCCCTGTGTCGGATGGGGGGTTGGTGAAGATCTTTCCCCATTCTGTAGGTTGCCAGTTTGTCCTATTAACAGGATCCTTTGCCTTGCAAAAGCTTTTCATGAGGTTCCATTTATTAATTGTTGATCTTAATGCCCAAGCTATTGTTGTTCTGTTTAGGAAGTGGTCTCCTGTACCAATGTGTTTAAGGCTATTCCCCACTTTCTCTTCTATTAGATTTAGTGTATTTGGTTTTATGTTGAGGGTCTTTGATTCACTTAGACTTGAGTTTTGTGCAGGGTTATTGATATGAATCTATTTGAATTCTTCTACCTGCAGATATCCAGTTAGACCAGCACCATTTGTCAAAGATACTTTCTGTTTTCTGTTGTATAGTTTTGCCTTCTTGTCAAAAATCAAGTGTCCATAGGTGTGTGGGTGTACTTATAGGTCTTCAGTTTGATTCCATTGATCAATCTGTCTGTTTTTAGGCCAATAAAATGCAGTTTTTATTACCATTCCAGTGTAGTACAGCTTGAAATCAGGGATGGGGATACCTCCTGAAGATAATTTATTTTACAGGATTGTTTTAACTATCCTGTTTTTTTTTTTTATTTTTCCATATGAAGTTGTAAATTGCTCTTTCAAGGTCTGTAAAGACATGTGTTAGAATTTTGGTGGAAACTGCATTGAATCTGCAGATGGCCATTTTTACCATGTTAATCCTACTGATCCATGAGTATGGGAGATCTTTCCATCTTTTGACATCTTCTTCAATTTCTTTACAGACTGGAGTTTTTTGTCATACTGGTCTTTTCCTTGAGTTACACCAAGATAATTTATATTATTTGTGGCTATTGTGAAGGGTGTTGTTTTCCTAATTTCTTTCTCAGCCTGTACATTGCTTGTAGAAAGGGGGGAAGAAAAAAATTAAAAATTAAAAATTAAGTTTGTAGTCAGATGAAGGTGTTTATCAGCTGTAGGAGTTCTCTTGTAGAATTTTGGGGTCACTTACATATACTGTCATATCATATGCAAATAGCAATACTTTGACTTTTTCCTTTCCAATTTGTATCTCCTTGATCTCTTTTATCTTATTGCTCTGGCTAGGACTTCAAGTACTATACTGAATAGTTAAAGAGAGAGTGGGTAGCCTTGTTTTGTCCCTGATTTCAGTGGGATTCATTTAAGTTTCTATCCATTTAATTTGATGTTGGCTATTGGCTTGCTGAATATTGCCTTTATCATGTTTAGCTATGTACCTTGTATCCCTGATGTCTCTAAGACTTTTAATATGAAAGGATGTTGGATTGTGTCAAAGGCTTTTTTTTTTTTTAGCATCTAATAAGATGATCATGTGTATTTTTTGCATTCAGTTTGTTTATATAGTGGATACATTGATGGATTTTTGTATATTGAACCATCCCTGCATTCCTGAGATGAAGCCTACTTGATCATGGTGGATGATGTATTTGATGTGTTCTTGGATTTGGTTTGCTAGTACTTTATCGAGTATTTTTTCATCAGTGCTCACAAGGGAAATTTGTCTGAAATTCTCTCTCTCTCTTAATTTAAAACACTCATTTACTTACTGGAAGGGGAACTGAATTCCTTCATCTCCAGAACCAAGTGTTTCATTGATTTTAGCATGTCCTGGAAGCTCACCATATGCTTTGAGGCTTCTACCTTCATCTGCCTTGTATTTGAAAATGATGTTGTCTTTATTATCCTGGCATTCTTGGAATTCCACCAATATGATATCTGATGTATTTATCTAAATCTTTTTTTCTCAGTTTCCCTCTGATGTGGCTGGCATAGCCTCTTTACACCATGGAAACTCATTGCTTCTAATCATCCGTCCCCCGACACTCTGATTACCAGAGCATATTCTTGCCCATCCTTCCCGAGCACCAGCTCTTGTTCAGATTCATTCTCATTTTGTCAAACATCCTTTTCCTTTATTCTTGGTCATGGCGGCAGGAATGGTGGAGACACTGAAGGGCTCGGTGCATGGAACAAAGGCTGTGGGAGAGGCTGAGAAGTGTGCTTGGCAGAGGTTGGGCACCTCTGTCTCTGAGTTGCCTCCACCTAACGCTCAGCAGTGGGAAAGTCAAAATTCTCTTTCTTTGTTGAGTTTTTGTGTGATTTAGGTACCAGGGTGATTGTGTCCTCATAAAACGAATTTGGCAATTTCCCTTCTGTTTCTATTTTGTGGAATAATTTGAGCGCTTCTTTGAGAATTTGATAGAATTCTGTGCTAAAACCATCTGGCCCTGGACTCTTTTGTCTGTGAGAATTTAATGACAGCTTCTATTTCCTTAGGGTTTATAGGACTATTTAAATTGTTTACCTGATTTTAATTTAACTTTGGTAAGTGCTATCTATTAAAAAAATTGTTCATTTTACTTAGAATTTCTAATTTTGTAGAGTACAGGCTTTGAAATAAGACTTAATGATTCTTTGGATTTCCTTAGTGTCTGTTGTTATGTCCCCCTTTTCATTTCTGATTTTGTTAATTTTGATATTCTCTTCCTGCATTTTAGTTAGTTTGGCTAAGAGTTTGTCTGTCTTGTTGATTTTCTCAAAGAACCAGCTCTTGGTTTTGTTGATTCTTTGTATTATTCTCTTTGTTTCTAAATTATTGATTTCAGCTCTGAGTCCGATTGTTTCCTGCTGTCTACTCCTTTTTTTTTTTCGGGGGGGAGGCTTGTTTCTTTTTGTTCTAGACCTTTCAGGTATGCTTTTAAATAGTTAGTATGAAGTCTGTTAAAGATGCTTAATACTTTCTTTGACAGATGCATTGATTTCTTCAGGCGAATCTTCTGCATCTGAGATTCTTTCTTCCATCTCTTGTATCCTGTTGGTGATTCTTGTGCCTGCATTTCCTGTTCTCTTCCTTAGGTTTTCCACCTCCAGGATTTCCTCAGTTTGTGTTTTCTTTATTGCTTCTATTTACATTTTCAGATCTTAGAGGTTTATTCATTTCCTTCACCTAATTGATTGTATTTTCCTATATTTCTTTAAGGGATTTATTCATTTCCTCATTAAAGGCCTCTAGCATCTTTATGAGATTGGATTTAAGGTCATCTTCTTGTGGTTTGGCTGTGTTAGGATATCTAGAGCTTGCTGTAGTAGGATAGCTGGCTTTGGTGGCCCTGGGTCCTGTTAACTGTGTTTTTATGTTGGCCTTTAGCCATCTGGTTTTCCCTGGTATTGGCTGGATGTTCCT